CGCGCAGCGCGCGAAAGGGTCGAAATCTATGGCGCGGGTCGTCGACGATTAGCGTCGCGCGGGGAGGGAACGGGAGGGGAGCAGAGGAGCCGAAAAGACACGGAAGCGAGGCGGAGATCGTCCTTTCTCCGGCGGCGGCTTTCACCGTTGAGCCGAGCGGAGAACCGCTGCCCGCCGCGAAAAACGTTACGTTTCTTCTCTCTGCTCACCGGGAGCGGGGCGATTTTTTTGCCGCACCGACGCTCGTCGGCTTCCTCTCTCTCTCTCTCTCTCTCTCTCACTCTCTATCTCGCTGTCTCGGGGGGGGATGAACGGGCCGCGACTCTTCGCGCAATTAACGCGCGACGACAGACAGACGCACGAATTTCACGACGATTTTTATCTCCGGGCTTCCATATTAAATTAAGAACGAGCTCCAGCATTGACGCGAGACGAAACGTTCCCTTTTCCTCTCTCTCTCTCTCTCCTTGCCGCGAGCGGAGGGGGAAAAAATTGCCGAGAAAATCCTCGCGGAAACTCGGCGCTGAGAGGGAGAAGGCAATCTGGGACGGTGAAAGCCGTTCTCTCGCTGGCGCGCCAGCGACGGTAGTATTGCGCTTCCGTTTACGGCCTTAAACCTATGGTTTTGTGTTTTTCCACTGGCTTCTTTTCTTTTTTCATTTGTTTTTTCTTTTTCTCGTTTTTTTTTGGAGACAGAGGTATGATTTTTGTAGGTTCTCCGGTCGGCCGCTTTTCGGATTTCCCTCTCTTCTTCATTGTATCTTTTGTCCTCGAAGCGAATTGGTCGATTCGCAACGGGAACGTACGGCACTGCGATCTTTCCTCACCTGTCTCGTAAAGCCGATCGATCGGAAATAACCGCGAAACGATCGTCGGCGACTCGTGCGGAGTGACGTCTCGACGGCTCCGGCGAACCTTGCCCAAAGACTCGGACACGCGGAAACCGCGCGGCACTCGGTCTCTCGTTTCGAAGTTGAAATTCGCAAGCTCGAGGACCGATCCGCGTCACCCCCGGCCAATTCGAATTCGACGACAGCGACCGGGGCGGAGAATGCCGCGCGCTGTCGCGTTTTGCGCAACCAGCGAAATTATCCCCTCGCGAACGCGCGTGTCCGCCTCCGATTTCGCGTCGGCCGATAAATTCCCTACGCCGCGTCGTCCCACGCGAAATGCTTGCGACGAGAGCAGCAGCAGCCCCATTTCGTCGATGCGTGCGCTAATTAAACGCTTCGCGCAGGGGAGACAAAGGCACGCGACTGACTCCTCGGAACGGAGTTCCGAGCAGTAAAGAAAAAAGGAGAATTTTTAGGAGGAGCACAGCGTGGGACGATGATGTTGCTCGTCGCAGCGGCGCGCACGTCTCTCGTTTAAGGAAATGGGGCGAGCGAACGATGAAGAAAGAGAGAAAGAGAGAGAAAGAGAGAGGATGGAAGAATGGAAACCGAGAGAGGAAGTGGCCAGACATATAATACTGTTCTAAGGAATATTATTATATTTTGTTTCGAACGAATAACTTTAGTCCTCTTTTGCAGCTCATGCTGACGAATTTGATTTGTATATGAAGTCCGTGAAATAGTCATTTGAAATCTGCAGATTGATTTGGCTTAGACGCAGAGAAGGAAAAAGAACGAGAGAAAGGGATCGCGGAAAAATGCGCAAGAGAGCAGCCTAAGCGAGTATAGTGCGCTCGCGGCCCGTGACACAGTTTCCGACTCCCTCGCGCTCTCTCTCTCTCTCTCTCTCTCTCTCATCTCTCTCTCTCTCTCTCTCTCTCTCTCTCTCTCTCTCTGCTGTCGGCGAAAGGAATGCAGCGAGCAAGCCACTTGGCGGTAGTAGGGATATACAACGCAGACATCACACGGAGATTGATTTGCCGGACGACTGTTGAGATTCTCTTCGATCGCACGCCACGGCTCCGTCGCGCCTAATCCGCGGCGAGAGAGCAACAAGTCGTGTGGACACTCTGAGAAAGAGAAAAGAAGCGAGGAAGACACCACGGAGAGAGGAGAGCGAGCGCGCGCGCGCGCATTGTAGTGCATCTCTCCGACTCAGGAGCCCTTGCGGGTCAACAACCGCCGAGCGCGCGCTGCGCAACGACGACCAAGACTCGACTCCTCTTTTCCCCTTTCCCACCGTTTTACGCGCGAGCGCTAGTCGGCCGAGCGGTTCTCCTGCGCGCGTGCTGCTGCTGCTGCTGCTACTGCTGCTGCTACTGCTGCTGCTCCGCGCATGATTTTTCATTCCGCGGAATGAAATCGACGAGCTGACCGGCAATTCCAAAAACTCACCGGAGAACCGGTAGACCGCGGGGGGAAAATAAAGGAGCTACGGAGACAGACGAAACCTTGAATTTCTCGCGACGCGCGCTGAGAGAGCGGAAAAGGCTGCGCGCGATTCGAACATTCCGACGCCCGCGAGGAAAGTACGCGTCGCGCCGGCGAATTGGTGAATGAACTCGCGACGACGACGACACGCGAGTCACACGCGCGCGCGGCACGGAAATCGACGCCACAACGGCAGAACGAAAAGAAAAACGATGGAAATACATGACGGCGCCGAAATCGCTCGACGATTAATTTTAGCATTTGCACTGGCGAAAAGGGCGCCGTATTCTCCGGTAAATCATTCGGAAACACAGCCAAATGTTTTGAGACGCCTGTCGTAACGTCACGCACACGCGCGCGCTTCTGCACATCCGCATCGATCGGCGCATCGTGTCGTCTGGAAATAGAATCGCAGCTTGCATCGCTGCTGCTCGCGCGCCCGAGATAAGATTGTAGTCAATTAGCTTCGCACGATAAGCCGCATATAGTCTCTTTCTCTCTCTCGCGCTGAAATGCGCTCTGGCGACCTTGACTTGTTTAAAAAGACGCGACACAGAGACAGTACGAGAAGAACGAGACGAGATCTGCAAAGAAAAAACAATAAGCAACGTAAACACACTTGGCGCGAAAAAATTAGTCGGCTTACGTAACATCAAGAGATAAAAGCAAATCGATCGCTTGATAGCGTACGCGACGAGTATTTTGTTTCTGAGAAGCAAGAGAGAGTTGTTTACAACATCATCCACCGGAACATCGTTATAACCTCAAAGCCAGCGTCGTCGGTCGTTCGGTTCGCAACTCGTAAGATACATATAGAGAGAGAGAAAGAGAAAGAGAGAGAGAGAGAGAGAGAGAGAGAGAGCAATCATGGCGGCAAGTTGCGGTGTGTAGGTAGCGCGAAAATCGCGATCAGCGACCTCCTCGTGAACAACAGACAGTGTTAGACTGGAGGTGGCGGTAGGTTGATGTTGATGATGATGATAACAGTAGGCATCGGTGGCGATCAACTCACCAAAGCGAAGAAGTTGGTGTGGCAGTCCTCCAAGCTGGCGCCGTTAGTCTGATGCGCGGGGTGCGTCATGGCTTCGCCTCCATCCTGCAGCTCTCATGTACGGCACGCAGACACGACTCACACACACTCACACAGATATAGATACACTTATATACGCAGCACAGACACCGTGAGAGAGCGAGAGAGCGAGCGAGCAAGAAGCAGCACACAGACACGCGTGCGCGCGCGAGAGCTCCGATCTCCTCTCCGCTATTGCTGCACGTACACTCTCTCACACTCGAGCAACACTTTTGCACTTGTATGTAACAACAACAACAGCCAGAGCAGCCTTCGGTCCCTCCTTCTGTGCGTATATGTCGAGATACGTGAGAGTGCGCTGACGATGTGAAAGCCAAGTCAACCTGGTGACGCGGCCATCCTCATTACAGGACCACAGTACAGTTTCACGCCAACTCGCCGAGACACACGCGCGACTACTCGTCGACGAAAGTTGCAGCGCGAATGTCGGGAGCCCCAGAGGCCTGGGGCGCAGAGTGCGAGGGAGACAGAGTCGAAGAGAGAGAGAGAGGGACTCTGTAAAATGGCGGACGCGACAGAGTACACTGCAGCGGCTCTGCCAAGAACGGGCTGACTGAGGCAGCAGTGTGCCTGCTGCCTAGGCCGAGCGCGCCGCAAGAGCCGAGAACCGCAATGTTGCCGGCTCTTGCGCTATGCCCCCAACACTCGTATACAGAGTCATCTGTCGACAAAGACTCGAACGTACACCCGCGCACGATTGTTGACTTTCTTTTTTGGACTTTTTCTCGAGCTTGCGGCTTCTTTCCTGACCTTGTTGTTCTCATACTGCGGCTGAGGTGATAAAACGTGGTTCGCGTTGATTTTTCAGAGTTTCGCGGTTTTCGGAGTAATGTTAATTAGTTATTATTAGTACGAATTTTTAATTATGAATTAATCACTGGAAGGACACTATTGTAATTTTACGAATACCTTTACTCCGAATGTCTTTTTATAAACATACATTCGGCTTGAATAATAATCACAAAACAGAAACATAAACATTTCAATTTTCAAGTATAATAATAATGATATTCGAGCAACGCTAACTCACTGAAAAGTTTCGTATGCACAGGCACTCCAAATCCTTTGCAGCACGATAAAAAAAGCCTTACATTGTTTTGTTTTCAAGATCAGCAGATATTATAAAGTGAGCACGCTGCATGTATACTAATTAGAGACCTTGAGTAATATATCATCTAGCTTGTTTACTCGAAACTTTCAAATGTTTCTTGCCAGGCCTTGCGAGATTCATTTATGAATTATGATCTATATTTAACCATCCACCGCTTGCTCTCCAAACTCTCCATTATTTTGCCTTCGCTGCCGGTGAATCACGGTGATCAAGTCACAAGCAGCGTGAATGGCATTGCGCTATTGATTTTAGATGCAACGAAGCCGCTGCACTTTCAACACTTTGGAATCCTCGTACTCGTAAAAAAATAAACAAACAAACAATTATTCGAATCTCGCGCTGTTGCTTGTCAAACCTGCGGCGGCGTTTCAGTGTCGGAGCCATCAATCGTGCAGTGCACCGGGCCGAAAAAAAAGGACGGTCTGCTCCGCGTGCGGGGAAAGGGGAAGGTTTATCCGAAAAAGTACGGCAACGCTGCGTCGGCAGTGTCGGCACGTACTGATAGTCGGAAACATGGCGGCGCTCACGAGACATGCTTTTCTCGGTTGTGCCTTGCTCAGACAATCATCGGTCGTTGTACGCACTACGGTTTGTTAAATAACGCTTTTTAATCTCTCGATCTTTTGCTCTAGACTCGAGCCTGTGACTTATTAATCTCATCTGCTCTGTTGCGTGTTTGCCGACCTAACCTCCAATGCTTAATTAATCTACGACATTGTTGTTGATTGCAGGGCACAGCGATGCAGGAGCGTGGGATCGCAATTAAGTTAAAACACAAAAAGAGGCCTTGTCAGAAGCCTCAGAAGAAGGCTACTATTGAATCCATCATGTCATCCATGCAGACCAAAGGGTGAGTTGGCACGATCTCTCGAACGTCCAATTTCCCGTATGAATTTTCACGCACATTTTTCCGCGTTGACTGCTGGTCGACAGTCGGATTCATCTCGACCAGCGCGCGTCTTAAATTGGACTCGAAGCAATTGGTCGTCAGGCGTACAGTGCAAGCTCGCGCCAGAAAAGCTCGCTTACCGTACTGCTATCGCAGCTGTTCTCTATTTATTCGCTCTCTCTCTCTCGCTCTCTCTTTCTCTCTCGCCCTCTCCATTCTTCCGCCACCACGGGCCTGCCTATTTATCGATTCCTTTGAGCCCGCAATTACCCGCGACTGGCTTTTGATCTGTCGATTCCCGCGTATTTTCGTTCGATATCACAATCAAACCGAGCAAAATTGGATTGTCGTCTATAATTGACACGTTGACGGCGCGTCCCATTACCGATGCTCAATTTCTTTCGGAGCTAGTTGGCGAAAAAGCCATTTGCCCGAATTGCAACGTCAACGATTTGCGAATGCTTTTGCGTAACTGCGAGCGAACGCGCGAGTCGCGAGGATCGGAGACAATTCGTTTGCCGCGGATTTGTTTTTCGTGCCCAGCGGCAGTTATCCTCGCGAAGATTTTGCCGCGACGCCACTATCTGACTGCGCCTTTTCCCACTCTCTCCTTTCGTCATCGCCGGCTACGCTATACGTTGCATTGACGTTACGTACTGCCGACGTAATTCGCGCACGTAAACAAAATGAAACAAAAAGAAAAATGGAAGGAAAAGGCGTCTCTCTCGCATCGCCGTTAAGGAAAGCAAAAAGCAACGTATACCGAATCGTGGTCGCGCGCGAAAGAGAACCCGAACGTGTAATCGTAGAGCGATCGAGTCTGATATTTTGAATGCGTTTTAATTGCGACTTGTTGCTTGTCGCCGCGGCCTCCGCTGCGACGCGATACACCGCGCGGACGAGGAACTCACCGCTGTCTCTTGTTTCGCGCAGCACACGAAAACGCGGACAATCCGTTTTCTCTTGGCGAGCGCGCCGTTGGAGGTGGGAGGGGGCGGGGATCGTTGCTCTGTCTCTCTCTCTCTCTCGCTTTTACGATGGATAATTGTTGGCGCCGTGAACGCGCTTTGCTCGCCTCTGTCGCTCGTGGGTAGCTGGCGCTACACGCCTGGAAAACTCGAGCGCGGTGTCGTTCCGGGATCCCGGCTCGCCTCGGTGACGTCAGCGGATGCTCGGCGCGCGAAAGTCAATCGAGGAGGCAAAGCAGGCAACGACCGCGAGCCAAGCCAACGCAATGGCGAGGCCGCGGCAAGCTCGAGGAGGACGGACGTCGTCGCGAGCGCGCGCGATCCTCCGGGAGGCGAAGCGCGCCCGAAGCTTCGTCGATCCGAAAAGCGAGGCGAGGGAGGCTGCGAAGCGGCCGCAATAAGCCGAGGAACAAGTGGGTGGAGGTGGCACCACCGTATATCCGCGCACGCGGAGCGTGCTTTTGGATCGATCCCGCGTTCCGCAGAGACGCGCGCGCGCGCACGAGAGAGAGAGAGAGAGAGAGAGAGAGAGAGAGAGAGAGAGAGAGAGAGAGAGAGAGAGAGAGAGAGAGAGAGATGTAAATGCTGCGCGCAGAACGTGCCGGACACCTACGTACGGCGCTATTGATTCCGCACGGCTGCTGCCGAGGGCTCCGCGCCGCGGCTGGCCAATTGACGGGCCACGCTCGCGATACGTGCTGTGCGCTCGTTTTTTTTTTTCATCCCTCCCCCCTTTTATTTTCATTTGGAAAAAAGAAAACCATCGAGTGAAAAAATGTATTTATTGATTGCGCGTAAGAGAAATGCGTTCGAGCGTCGTATAGCCAAGAAAAAACAGAGGAGATGAGCGTGCCGATGAATAGGAGATGGATACGCTGTTGACGGTCTATTAAACGCGCAATGACTCTTTCTGCGTGTCGTCGGTCTAAATTTTTCGAAGCGAAATATGGATGTACGGGTACCGCGAGCCAAACGCGATCAATCTCGGAGCATAAGTCCGGCGAATCTAATAATAACGATAATTCAACGCCGCTCGGCATCCTTTTCATAATCAATTTGCTAATAACTCGCGAAGAATCCGCCATCAATTATGGTTCTCCGGACAATATGTCAATGCGCAACGGACATTTACGAGTCTTTGATTAATATGCAAAAAAAACAATCGAATTTTCAGATTCTTGCGGCCCTACAACCCGTACCAACCACCAAAAGATGCGTCCGAGAGGTTAGACAAGATTTGCGAATCCCTGGGCTTGAGCACCAATGACGACACCGTCGTTGACGATTTGCTCATGAGATTCAAACTGTTCGGAACCTGCGCCAATGAATTTCAATACTGCATTCCCAACTCGCAACTCGCTCACATCGAAACCATCGGTGGGTATCCTTTTTCTTTTTGTTTTCTCCAAGTTAATCAGCTTTGCATTACACTCGAGTTGAAATGTATACTGGGCTTGTAGGTCATCTGAGGCAATTTTATCAGACGCCAGTCTTCACGACGACGCCGTACGACGCCCTACAAAACTTGGATCTGCCGCCGAATTTGCACGTTCAAAAAGACTATCACAGGTTTCACCCTGGTAAGTTTTATTGACACGAGTTTACTACTTGCTGAAACTATCTTTGGTGGATGAATGAAATCATCGATTTATAATTATTTGTCAATTCGTAGACACGGACAAAATGTTTGGTGGAAAGACGGCGTTTCCACAAAACGCCACAATCGTTACGGGCCTCAAGTATAAGGACAAGTACAAGGGTCACAAACCGGAAAAGTCATGGCCCGAAAAAGTTTACTCGATATTTGATTAGCTGTAGCTCTGCAGCTCTTCGTTCATGCTTGTTGATGAAATAATCTTATTTATACGATATATACACGTGATAATGTTTAATAAACTAATAAGTTAACATGAATCAATTGTTGCTTTAATTTAAATCGCATTCAAATAAATTATCTGCACTTTTTCGTGATTCCTTTTTTAGGTAAGTGTTTAAAAACCAATATTGCTGCATCGGTTGAGAAAGAACATTTTACTTGCAGTCAATAGAAGCTCATGGAATATTCAAAGTGAAGGTTGTAGGCCAGGATAAAAATAAGCCGAGAAGAAAATCGATAATGAATGCTTGCTATAATGCATTAGTAATATTATGATTTTTTCAGTATATCTATATTTTGTATTCTTCTGACTGATTATATCGAAACAAATTTCAACTTTTGAAGATGAAAGTCAATCTGCAAACTTAACTTTCAAAGCGAATAGTTAAATAATGACAATATGTATGACAAAACGCGTCGGGTGAAAAAAAAAATTGATATTTAAATGATAATGATATAAATTTTCTATCTACTATATTTTTATAAACTTTCAATGTCAAAATAAATACTGTCAAGATACGTTATTTTTTTCCAATTTTCAATTATAAGATCGCAATTTTAATAAGTGCACGTTCCTTCACAATATTTTAACTTCAAGGTTAGGTACAGATCAACTTATTATTCGTTTAGTTTATCGTCGAGTTGGGATACCATTAGCATTTTCTTAAGCAATGAATTTTCAGTAACGCTATACATTTAAAATTTATGTCATTAATTTTTGGTATAATAATTTTCTGATAGCTATCGAATGATGGGTACAAGTCTTCTCGCCGAGGTTTATTCGATTTACCAGGCTTGGCTTATCATGTATAGCACTCATTATAGAGATAACATACCATCTGTACGACCTGAAAAATAATATATTTTTCAGTTTTTTATCGATATCGACGTAGCCATCACAAAAAATTCAATTGATGCAGTTGTTAAATAATAAATAATTTTTTTCGTCGCCTCTACGTAGATAATCCGTAAGATAAAAATGGTTAGTAACTCAGAAAATCGATTTAAATTACAGAGCAGAAGCGCTGTGAACATAGTTTGTTCTTCACGCATATCTACATCCAACAAACCTGCAAAGAAAATCGATAAATGTTTAAATGCATTCAGCGTGACGGAAGTAATTGTATCCACGCATGTTTAATGGTGTCCTTGCTGGAGCTATCGATTCTCTTGCCAGCTTTCAGTCAGTTCTAAACAATCTGCTGACGATCGTGGTCGTGGCGCGCGCTCAAAAGCTTCGAGTAGCTGTGTCGGAAATACTCCAGAGCTCCTATCCGTATTTGAATATTGCATTCGATTATTGATAGATGCCGAGTTGAGGCACAGAAAAGGAATGAAAATGCAATGGCTTCCGTGTCGACGTGTGCTTTACAAGTTACTTACGGTTTGAAGACATTTCACTCATTGTATTGCTGTGCAATTTTTGAAAACTAAAATTTCGAAGTAGCTAAAGGCAGCTACTATTCAATCGAACTTTCATCTACCATCAAGATGAGTAACGAAATTCAGTTGTTATTCTATGAAATGCTTGAAAATAAGCTTTTGAAAATGCAATAAGCCGCGTCGATATGCTTTTCTGTAAGCGTCAATCCGACCAATTTCACATTATACGCATCATCATGGTGTATCTGCTTTTCATCGTACAAGCACAAGGGCACGATTGGACAGAAATTTTGTCGATGAAAATCAAGGAGGAAGTGAAGTCGGCTTTCGTCGTCACGTTTGGTAGTTTGGGCGCAAACGATCGAGCAAGCTTACTGAAAATGATAGACGTTCCTTCCGTGAACTTTGAATCCATCGATGGACAGTCACTGTTCCACGAAAACTATTGGCCATTCAATATATTAACCAGCGAGCAAACGAGATCGGAGAATTTGTTCATGATCTCAAAGAGAACAACTTGCGTCAGCACGCTACTGGCGGAGATGGACGCATCGCTGAGCTTCATCGTCCAGTTGTTCTTCTACTTGCCAAGACCAAAGTCTTTACTTGTATTAGACGACGAAGACGCATCTCTCGATAAGCTGTGTTTGAGACGAATACTCCTACTTGCTTGGCATCACCAATTCCTGAACTTCAGCGTGATAACGGTGAACGGGACCGCCAACATATTCAATTACAATCCATTTTCGAATACGCTGCGGGGAGCTGCGCTCACCAATGAAACTGAAATCTTCCCCGACAAGCTTCAAAACATGCATGGCTGGACTCTGAACTTTCCCCTCGTAGACTGTCCTCCCAGCACTATAGTAAGAAAGCAAAGTGGCTCTCTGAAAATTTCGGGACACGAGTACCCCTACTTTCCGATTTTCGCCAAGGCTCTGAACTTCAAGCTAAACGTGATGGAGGAGCGTTGGGAAGTGAATTCGTGGCACGTAAACCACAATAAAACTGGCTTCGACGACTTGTTCGCGGACGAAACGACAGACGGAATGACGGTGTCTTTCGTGTCGAATGCCAAATCGATTGGGCCCGCGGTGACCCTGGCAAGTACGTTCTTCAGCGTGCGCGTGGTGGTGTTGGTGCCCATAATGCGATACACTTCGGTCGAGTCTCCCTGGGAAATTTACGTCGTGGCCGTGGCCGTGGCCGTGCTCGTGGGCGCCATCCACTTGCTGACGAGATTCACGAGCCTGCCTCGGCCGGAATACGGCATCACGGACATGTACCGGAGCTTCCTGGGCCTGGCGGCTTCCAGCGCCCCCAGCAGCAGGCTCGGCAAACTCAGCCTGGCCAGCATTTTCGTAGTGTCCTTGGTGTGCTCCAGCGGACTGTTCACAAAGCTGACCGACAGCCAATTGGTGAAGAAGGACATCGAGCTGGACAGCTTCGAGCAGATCGAGGCGGCCAATCTCACGCTCTACCTGCCCGTTTACTTCAGACAAGTGGCCGAGCGCATCGAGAACGCGGCCTTTCGGAATCTGCTCGCTCGCAGCGTGACCGTGGCGGAGCCGGCGAGCTGCTTGGCCCGCTTGCAGCACTCGCGCAGCTGCGTCTGCGTCGCCATGTCGGACGTCGCCGAGTACTACATCGCGAGGCAAGGCCCGTCGCCGGCCTTCAAGATATCCAAGCTGACGTTTCACAACCAACTCATGGCCTTCCCCTTCCGCAAGGGCTCGCCTTACGTCGACAGGATCAGCGAGCTGCAGCGGACCCTGGTCGAGGCCGGAATAAGCAAGATCCACAGTCCGCTGTGGGCTTACGAGGTGCCCATCTCCACGGGCGACTCGCGCGGACGCCTCGAGCTGCTGGACGCGAGTCGACTGCTCACGCCGCTCGCCATTGTCGCCGTCAACGGCTTCGCCTTGGCGCTCTTGACCTTTGCCGCCGAGCTGACCTTCCGTCTGCGTCGCCACGGCGAATAGGACCGTCTCCGTTCCAGCGACGCATCGCGCACCACTTCGGAAGCCAATCGAGCGCATATAGAACCGATTCGTTGTACGCGTGTGTTCCAGCGGCGAGCGAAATTCGTGAAACTTTTCGAAAGTGGGCCTGCCATCTCTCGCCGGAGCGAAACTTTCTTGATGGAAGCGTCACGCGCTGAAGTGGAGCACACTCGTCATGTTTTATCTGTTCTCTTTCTCTCTCTTACCGACGCCAAAAAAGTTTTGGCGCAAAGCCGACACTTTGGCACGAGGCAAAGAAAACATCGCGATCGAGCTTTCGGACGGCATCCGCGGGCAGCCGTCGGGTATCGAGCAATCAGCCGGCGCGCGAGAGTCACGGCGAGGAGCCGCACGGGAGGAGACACGTGCGCGCCGGCGTGGTCGATCGAAGCACCGGTAACCCGTGGCGACGGAGGCAGCCGCTCGCCCGCCGTCAGTCGGCGCCTCGCGGTCATGCCGAGAGCAGCCAGCAGCACCGGCCTCATCGCCGCCCGCGTCAAACCCGTGCGCCGGCCCAAGCCCAAGGTAACACCGCTGCCGCGCCGCCGACGTTTAACGTCAAGGCTGCGGACGCGCCAACTCGAGGGCGTCGTAGCATAACGATCGCGCGCACTGCGATCGCGATGTTTCCGTCGCAAGCGCGCCCGCTGGAAAGGGAGGCGGGAAAGCCCTCTAGGGGAAATTACATTGGCGCGATTCTCCCTCGCCGTGAGAGCTTCGCTTTGAAAGCGCTGCATTGTTGCTCGGGAAGCCTTTTCCTCCCACCGACGCAATTTAGCTTCGCGTCTTTGCTGGCCTGCACCGCACGTGAAATGCCGAGAGCGCGTATTCAAGACGGTGCAATCGCGAAGCTACGACTGCGAGTTCACGATACCGAGATGTCGGCTTTTCAAGCAAGTAGTTGGCGTTACCTCGCTGCAAGTTACGCCGCGCATCCGTGAAAGCCGGCGGATGCGTTATCTTTGTCCGGAGCTCGCGAGTACCAATCGCGTACTGCATTCGTCGTCCAAAACGAGTCCAGCACCGGAGAGCCAGCTGGGAAAAACGCGAAAGCCATAACCCGAGACGTAGGCGCAGAAACTGGAGCTGATGGGGCCAGCGGTACGAGCGCCGTTCGGCCCGCGGCCCTCCGCCAGGCCGTCCCTGCGCCGGCACGATGGCTGCGCGGCGCGGCGCCATCACCCGGCCGACGGCGAGGCCGCGTGGACGGCACGCCGCGCCGACGGGCGCCCGCCGAGCGCGGGCCGCGCCCCGGAGCCGTCGGCGGAGGCGGACGGCGCCGAGCTCGTGCCCGAGGAGCTGTTCCGGCGCTACACGGAGACGGACTCGCGGCCGGCCAGCCCCCGCAGCCCCGAGCCAGCGCAGGCCGAGCGCGAGAGGACCCAGCTGGTGCTGGACCTGCGCGCCAGCCCGCGCGAGGTCCAGGTGGGCCCGCGGCGCGGCCGCGCGCCTGCCGACCCCACCGCCGCCGCCAGCCCCCAGCCAGCCGAGGCGCTCAGCTGGCGCGGCCCCGCGCCGGAGCCGCCCACGGGCCGCCGCGCCCCGCGCGCGTCGCCGCCCCACCGTTCGGCCGCCTCGACGGCGCGCTCGCCGCCCGCCGACGACGGGCCCCCCGGCCCGGCCGGCGACGCCGCGCGGGACTGCGCGCCCGAGGCGGCCGGGCAGCCGGCAATGCGCCGCCGCGGCCGGCTGCGGCGCGGCAAGCGCAAGTGCCGGCGCGCCTCCATCTACGGCCAACCGACCGAGGTGCGCGAGCCGCCCGAGCCGTCCGAGACCCAGGTGTCGCAAACCGACGGGGCCGGCCGGCGCGCGCCGTAAGTCCGCCCGCGGCCGGTCGCCCGCCGCGCAGGCACTGACCTTCCGCTCGCCCGCAGCCCCTGCCCGAGAGCCGAGGAGACCGGCGGCCGGGCCACGCCGGACGGGACCAGTCTGCCGAGCGTGGGCCGCGAGCTGCCACCGAGCTTCCTGCCCCGGGAGGCGATCAGGGCGCTCAGTCGGCGGCTGGACCGCGAGCTCGTCGAGTGCGAGTTCAACGCTAAGGTGACGATCAGCGCCGTGCTGGCAAGGCCGCCGCGCTTATCGGCTGGCGCCTTCCGCAGAGGCGGTTCGCTTTGGAGGAGGCGCTGCGGGTCGTCAGCGAGATGCAGCCGCCGCCGGCCAGGGCGCCGCGAGTGGCCGCGCTGCCCACCTGCCACGAGGTGCCCCGGCTGTTCTACAGGCAGAGCGCCAGGTTCGAGCTGCTGGACGGCCAGTCGCTCGTGGGTAGGTGCCCCACCGCCCGGTCGACACAGGCCAGAGCCCGGTCAGATGCAGTCTCGTTACCCGCGCGCAGGTCTCCGGCCGCTGGACTACCTTGCCCGCCACGCCCACGTCAGCGACGCGCGCAAGGCCGTGTTCTTGCGCGCCTTCAACAAGTTCCGCGAGGACGAGGCCGAGGGCCCGCGCCACATGCTCGCCGACTGCTTGCGGGAGGCGCTGCGCGAGGTGATGGGCCGACCGCTGACGGACCGCGAGTTCGAGGGCCTCCAGCGCGGCCTGGGCCCCACCGGCGACCGGCTGCACTTCCGTGCCTGGTGCGGCCTCTGCGCGTTCGCGGAGCGCGTCGTGCCGGAGCTGCCGCCGCGGGACCGGGATCCCGCCTCCTGGCTCGAGAGGGCCGACTTCGAGATGCTGGAGAAGAGGCTGAGGAGCGTCAAGGTGGACGCCAGACTGGCGGACATGCTGAGGCTCATCAGGGACCGCTAGGCCCCGCTCACGGTCAGTGCACGCCGTTCGATCGTGTCTACATTTTTAACGAGCGTCTTTACATTCGCAGCTCATTCACGGGGGATATTATTCCTCGCGACTCCGTGACCTGTACATAGCGAATTGCTCTCGGGCGCTGATTTCTTTTGAAAATTTCGCGACGTTTCGAGGTCCGCGCGCAACGCTGCACGTCCCACCGTAAGAGTCGCGCATCCGACAGGTCGCGCATTGAGAATCAACGAAAACGATCGAAACGAAACGAAAACCAAAATAAAAAAATGAAGCGCTACCGCCGCGCCAATATTTACACGAGTTCACGCGATCAGCGACGAGCTGGACTTGGACACCTTCGAAAAGAAGGATGGCCAACGCGCCGACCAGCGCGATCTTCTGAGCCGCAGCGCAAATCGGTTGCGCGCGTCAGCATTCTCTCCGACGCGCTTTCGTGGGTCGGTTCGACGAGATCCGGAGTGGAAATGGCGAAGGGCCTACTTTCCTTTCGCAAGGGGTTTGTCGTGCATCGACGAGATACGAACACATCCTTCAGCGCAGGATCGTCGAAGCTGGCTGGCAGCTGCCCGGAATCAGCGTTCCGCTGTGGCACCCCGACATGAGCAACATCCTCGACGAACGTTCCTCAATGTGGAACCATCAGTGCATACAATTGGCAATGGTCACCGTCATATGCCGTTCTACTTTTGTCTTCGTCACAGGGATTTGCGGTGGCTTCGGTACGAAGACGAGGCTCGCTGCTTGCTCTCGCGCCAGTGGTTTTTTGATTAACTGTCTAATCTACTCCGAAATTCACTAAATCTATACACACACGTACATCAGCCTATATACATTGATCGATGTATTAGAAGTCTATGTTACTGGTTTCCTCGTCGATTTTCGTTGAAAATATCCGATGCTCACTAAAAAATTCCACAGTGACAAAGTTCATAGAGCTAGCGGTTAGCGATTAATGGAGTTCCTAATTATTGTTGATATTTCTATTTTCACATTAACGATTTGTTCAAGAAATTCATTTTAAATTACACTTTCTCAATATTGACTTGTGTAACCTGCGCGCCATTCTATGCAAATATTTTCAGTTTGGTATTATCCGTATTTTTAAACGGCTCATAGAGCAGTTTGTATATTTTTTAAAATTCTCAAACTTTAATTTACTCAAACAATAAGCTTTGAATTAACTCAATGTGCAGTTACATCGTCAACTTATGATTACGCAATATCACAGATTACCAAAACTAAATTGTACCATTGTTTTGTAACAGTATGCATGCATAATTTGATCTGTCCTACGTCTAAAATAAATTTTTCTGTCGAAACAATGTTATCGTATTTCACACAAATCTAATACATTTTAAACTGGGTTTACAAAGTTTTTCTTCACACTTTTATAAGTTTAAAATTTCGAGCGTTACAGCTAAATGTTACATTGAAGCGAGTTCTAGAAGTAAAAAAATCAAGTAAGCCTTTAGTTACAATTAGACGAAAATATGCATTACTGAAACAATATTGCTTTCAGAGTGAATAGAAATTAGATTGAAATAAAGTTTCCAATGTACATAAGCTTTTACCCTTCCATTTTATCAAAAAATATTAATATCAAAAAGTTTTCATTCAAGAATTCAGCTTGATCAATAAAAGTTGTAAGCTCGATTCGGTGGATGTACATTTTTTATGACCTATCCTGCTTTTTAGATCCGAATTACATTTTCAATACAGTCGATCCTTCATATTTTCAACGCAAGGAGAGATAAATTACAAATTAATAAAATCAGAATAGATTTTTCAAAAATTTATTTATAAAATGTTCAACTAAATAATTTAACACCGTTATGACTATCAGAGTTGTTCCAATTCAGAGTATTTTACCATAGTAAATAATATCTATCTTCAATAATGTTCAACACTGAAGGAATCAACGGAAAAGCGTTTGTTTACAAAATACCCCTTGACAATTCACATCGTCGCGCAGGTCAATTATAAAATTTATACTTGTTTCATTGTTCATTTATGTGTGTTTTTTCTCATATACTTTACGAATACAGAAAAATCGATGAACTCAACCGACATAATAGTGTCTTTTTTGTTTGTTTTGCTTTGATATCATACAATTTCATATAATTGTATAGAACGATCGACAGCGGTGAAAAATAATGATTACCCTTTCTCTTTCTCGAGACGAAATTGACTTATCAGTTCGCAAGCCTCTATAAAAAATGAAAAGGTATCGCTTCGAAAAAAAATTAAAAATAATCCGTTTTCGCGCGCGTAATTTGACAAAGGCAGCCGTAATCGCGTCTAAAACATACTCCTCTCCGGCGAAGAGTGAGAGAAAGAGAGAAGGATTTCAACGAGGGCTAATTTGAAAATTAACGAGAGGACGAGTTACTATACATACATTCACAATAAGCGCGCCACAGTCGTAGATCGGCAACTTGCAAATTTTACATGATTCTTGTACTAAGCCACCTGGGCTCAGCTAATATTTTTTTCATCTGTTTCGTACATCGCATTTTAGATATAATAATAATAATAATAATAATAATAATAATAATAATAATAATAATAATAATAATAATAATAATAATAATAATAATAATAATAATAGTAATTATAACATCTATATATAACTTCAAATAATTCGCATTTGTCCCTCTACGGTTGTCTTTGTTTAATCATGTGCTTTTTAAATATATTTTTCCTCACATAATGTGGCTTATGTTTGTTCATCATGTTGTTTTTCTTAATAAGATACAATTGCCATAAATAATTCTTCATACATCTGTTCAGTTCCCGTCACTCGCGTGACGTGTCATATTTGTTTCTTATTTTGTTTTCTTAAATAATCATCGCCGTGGGTTTGAGTCATCGTATGTATATACACGCGAAAATCCGATCGGCGAGACATATACATTAGTGTTTGGATTCGATAGTTTATACAATTACGTTAAATATAAATATCTTTGCACGTGTCATGTGAGGAACGAACAAAGAGAAAATGACTTACTTTTTTTAGTTTGCTTTCAGAAAGAGAGAGGGGGGGGGAGTAAGAGAGAGAGAGAGAGAGAGACAAAAATCAGCAATAGAGAGACATAGTAAACGTCGCGTTACAAAAATTTCGTTTTTTCAATTTTATAACAATACAAATACAAGAGTCTTTAATAAAAATTTGTTTTTCGTCGTGACGAACGTCGTAACCAAAAATCAATCATTGCCAGTTGCTGAATGAGTTGTATATAGTTGTTGAAAATTTTTGCAATAATTGCTTCATTGACTATGAGAATTCGCGACATTATTCTTTCTCGGTTCTTCCTACTTAAAAAAATGTTTTATTTTATTTATTTATTCATTAATATACATACTTATTTTGTTTGCTCAATAAAAAAGTACTTAAGTATCTCGGTAATAATTAAGAGGACATCCGAGGACGAAATGAAGAGTAAGTTTTGACAAATAAGAAACGAAATAAAACTTCGTCGTGCGAGTACTCAGTTTCGATGAAAGCTAAAAAAAAAATGAAAAAAGCTCAGAAGCTCGCACACATGCTTTTTTATTTAACATCGAAAAATTTGTACTTGATGAAACGAGAGTCAGTCGCGTGTATACAGGTAAATTAACGAACAATTGACTCGCAACTACATTACATAAATAAAAAAATCCATCCTCGCGTTCGTACGAGAATATATAAAATTTAAAAGACTCTATACACGCAGTATGTAATAAAAATTGCACGATGCGTCCTCGAATACTGCAAAGCATTTGTAGAAAAATATAGAACAGAAAATAATAGAATCACAAAAGCGCACATAGTGAGTCAAAATAAGAAACGGAGTACTCGTAGAAGAATGTAAATCAGTGTAAAGAAAGAGAGAGAAAGAGAGAACGAATCCTCGCTCGCGCGCGGGCAGTGAGTAGGCGATGTTTTTTTCTTTTTAATTTTAAATTTTCTAGTCGATTGTTGTTGGCCACTAGTTGCCGTTGGTCGAGCGCTGCGTCGCCGCTGCCGCTGATGATGAAATAACGCTATCGCCTACCGTCCCGTAGATTTTGCCAGCTTTGCGTGCCATGTTGCCAAGCATCTCCATCGACGACTTGTGCGCCGAACGTAACGAAATCGCCCATTCTTTCAGGCTTATCTCGTCCTGCAAACCAACAAACAATCATCGTAATTGTTTTCAAAATGGCAATAACGCATTTAACGACCGTTCTACTATATTTTAACGCGATGGATAATGCTCTCTCCTCTTTCATAGCTTATTCATAAATGACCTATTTACCTCAGCTGAATAATGCAAATATTGATTTTCTTTTCGAAAGAAGAATTGCTTTCAAATAATAAATAGTTTCGAGCGTGAATAAACATGTCATTTTTTTCCAAGAAAGCGAATTAAGAAATGACCCTGCTATGTCTAAAACAATCAATGTTCATACTGCGAGGTGTTGGAAAAATTGATAAAATTGACAGCTCATGGTTAAGGACGTATTGAGAATTGAAAGGTTCGTTATCCTGGCTATATCGCTCAGCGAGAAGCTGCTGAAAAATTCAAACGTCCGACTGAATCTTGATAGCTTCTACTTGCATTGTTGAGTGCCTCGTCTCGGACTTGTTTTTATCCGTTTGAGCAGATTCGTAGCGAAGAGCACGTTCCAGAAATATCAGACAGAGATATGACTTACGGGATTGGTTAATATAATTTTGGTATCTCTCGTTCGGATGATAATGCACTGCTCGTTCTTAACGTGCTGCAAGTCGCCACTGACTTCCTCCACCTGGAAAGCATAATTTGTCGTGTTATCTTGTTGCGAGTGAGAGTCAATTGGAGCGGCGCCTCTTTGAAAGCCCGCAAAGCGTACCTGGTCGAAGAAGACAAGCTCGGGCTTGGTGGTGGACTCGGGATGAAGCTCTAATCGATTCGGATAGAGCTTGGCGTATCGAGTTTGCCATGCGCTTGCGAACGGGCCGCCAAGTTTCTTAATGTAGCCGTGTAGTATACAGTCTGAGCCTGCGCACACACGGGCAAAACCAATTAGGCACGGATAAGCGAACTTGCTAATTGACGCGACACTTGGCCCGACAAGTTTTACCTTTCTCGTCGGCCTCGAATTTCAATTTCTTGGCTTTCTTCTTGATCTCGAGCTGCAACACACAACATCGGACGGGCGTTTGATTGGGCTTCGAGCCTGACAATCGCGACGGTCTCGTACCTTGTCAGCCTCGCTGTTGATGGTCTCGAACACGGTCTCCGCGACCTCGGCCTGCCATCTCTCGGAGATGACCAGCGGGAAGTTCTTGTAGAGGTCCTGATCGGCCTCGGTGAGCTTGATGCCCTTGGTGTCCTCCTCGTCGAAGGAGCCGATGTCGAAGGCGTCGGCCGCGTTCACCTCGCCCCTCGGCGGTATCAGCGGCGGCGTGTATTTCTGCAGGTAGACCTGCTGCCAGTCGATGCCGGCGAAGAACGCGTGCTCCTTGAGCTCGTCGGCGCCGGAGCCGCGGCAGCCCAGCCTCTGATTCACGTCGCGCTGCAGCAGTCCCTCCAGCAGCGACTTGAGCTCGCGCGAGAACGACTCCGGCAGATCCACGTTCTGCGTGCCAGACAGAGAGAGAGAGAGAGGGAAAGAGAGAGAGACAGAAATGAAGCTGACTGCGCTGCGAGCAGCTGGGGGAGGGGGGGGGCGCAGATCCAGTCGGAGAGCACGTCACGAGTCGCGACTCTGCGGCGAGGGTGGGCGCGAGGCGGCTTTCGTCGAGGTCATCGAGTTTCGGGCGCGGCGCGGACAGGTGCGGGGGCGGCTCAACACGCGGTTCGCGGGCGGAATCTGAACGCGAGAGCGCGGCGAGCCGTCGGTCGCGCGGGCGCTCCCCCCGAGACTGCGGAGCGAGCCGCCGGCCGCCGGCCGAGGGCCGGGGCGGGGGTGGGGCCGCGTGCGCGCACCTACCGTGGTGAGAGTCATGCGATCGATCTCGTGCTTGTCCTTGGTCTTGTGCTGTCGAAAGGGGCTGTGGCCCTTGAGCAGCTTGAACAGCATGCAGCCGAAGGAGAACCAATCGGCGCTCGAGTCGTAGGCGGTGCCCTTGGACAGCACCTCGGGCGCCATGTAGCCGTGCGTGCCGCTGCAAGCAATCCGGCCGTGTCACAGCCGCGCCTGCCCCTCTCCACCGACGCGCGGCCATACTCACACGCTGGCGTGCGGCTTCTTCTTGGAGAAGTCGCAGGCTAGCCCGAGGTCCGATATCCTGACGTGGCCGTGCTCGTCGAGCAGGATGTTCGCCGGCTTGAGGTCCCGATAGACGATGAACCGGCGGTGCATGTGCTCGAGGCCGAGTATCACCTCGGCCGCGTAGAACTTCATCTCGGGCTCGTTGAACACACCGTGCTGGCTGAGGTGGTAGTGCAGGTCGCCGCCGTTCATCAGGTCGAGGATGAAGCACAGCTTGTCGGGCGTGTGGAAGGCGTAGGTCATGCACACGATGAACGGGCAGTCGACCTGCTTGGCGTCGGCAACAGGGTGAGCGGCGGTCGACGAGGCGGAGCGGGGCGCGGCGACAGCCGCCACTTACCCCGGTGCTGACCAGCGACAGCATTATCCTCTCGTTGAGCGCCAGGGTCTCGCCCTGCTTCATCTTGATGCGCTTCTTGTCCAGGCACTTCATCGCGTACATCTTGCCGGTGTCGGCCTTGCGGCAGCCGTACACCTCGCCGAAGCCGCCGCGGCCGATTATCCGGTGTACGCTGAAGTCGTTCATCGTCAGCTGCAAAGCGAGCGGCGCGGTGGTGAGTAATCGCCGAGCTATTCGGATTTCAGCGCGCACTCACCTGGATGTTGAGCTCGAGATTCTTCCACTGGCAGAAGCGCGTGTACTTGTCGCTGCAAAAGTCGGACTGATTAGCGTCGCGCCTCGACTTGCCGGCGGAGAACTCACCTCTCGAGGAACTTCTTGAAGGGCTCCGCCCTCAGGTGATTGAAGATCTCCTCGATGTACGGCTGGGAAAAGTGCGAAAGAAAAAGTGTTTAGTCGGGCGTCGCCGCCGGGGCGAACTGTCGCGCGCGAGCTCACCTCGAACAGGTTGACGGGCACCTCGTTCTTGATGAGGAACTCCTGGACGTGCGCCACCGCCTGCTGCGAGTATTCCTGCGCCAGAGAAAAAAGCGAACGCGAGCTTGAGAGCGCGTTGGTCACGGCCGGCGGGCCTGCGAATCGGCAGGTCGCGCCGCAAGCTCGCTCGGCCTCGCCCCGGCGGCGCCCCGACCTACTTGCGCCGAGGGCGCGCGCCAGCGAACGCCCGGTCGACACTTACGTGCGTGTGCGCCAGCAGCTCCTTCATAATGTAGTTGTCGTAGATCTCGCGGGCGAGCTTCCGCCGCTCCTCCGGGCACTCCAGCTTCTCGTACGCCTTGATCTGCAAGCAGAGTCGGCCGAGTCAGCGGACCAAAGGGGGGGGGGGGGGGGGGGATCAAGCCGAGCGTTCAACGAGGAGGAGAGGTCGAGTCGTCGTCTCTTGGTCGGCGATTTGCAGAGGCCCCGAGAAAATGATAGATCCGACATTGCGGCAGTCGCGATCGTCTCGTCCCCGTCGTTCGCCAACGGCTTTACTGCCTTGGCTCGCCCTTTACGAGCGGGCCGAATAAAAAGCAAACGTTCCGCCGGGTGCTTTCCCTTCGCGGGAAGCGAGCTTGCGTCACGTACCTGCTCGTAAAACCTCAGCTGTGGAATGGGCTCCTCCGACGCGTTCTCGCAAAAGTCTTTGAATAGCAGGTAACCTGCGGACAAGTTTGGTGGCACGGTTATTTGGTCAGGAGTACATCGCAATCGTGACACATTCAATGCGAGGAGTATATTCTGCCGGATATGTAATTACTCTTCGTATGCGAATACAATTTCACGTTGGCCCTCTCTGCTTCGGGAAGCGACGACGCCCGTTTGCCGCGCCAAACGAGAAGAGAGCCCGATAATCGACGGTATAGCACAAGCAAGCTCGACTCACCTAGCATTTGGTTGAATATTTTATCGAAGTTCACCTCGTTCTTCTTCTCGAGATACTTGTGCATGACGCTGCGAACGCTGCAAGCACACAAAGCAGACACGCGCGGCTGGTTAGTCGGTGGTTGCATTGCGGTGAATCGGGGGCTTGCCGAGCGCGGAGACGCTCGCGCGCCGACCGACGAGGAGCATCGCATCTTGACGGCCTGCTCGCGCGCTAACAACTCCGAGCGGGACGAGTTTGACCCTGTTCTCTCGAGATCGAAGAATGTACGCGCGCGCGAAACTCATCGGCTCGAGCACGCGGAAAAGCAGGTAGATCGCCGCGCATTGTCCGCGGAACGGTGGGCAAAGGCTCATTATACGGTTCGACTCTGAATGGCAGTGTTTCGCGCGGCAGTCTTTGTTGCCGAGCGACGCGACAAGAGAGACAGAAAGAGAAAATAGGAGGGTGGACCCGCGGCGCGCCGAAGGGGCGCTCCTCTCGAGTGCCAATTAAGCGGCCCGCGTCCGATTGTCCTGTCCATGGCGTGTACAGCCAGGCCCTTCGTTTCGCAATCGAGTGCGGCGCGCGAGGACGCGCAATTATTCAGGATGGCGGCTGGCGTCCGCGTCGCAATATCCGTCGGTCGCTCCGTGGCTTCGTAATGACGTCGCGGGGGCTTCTCCGGTCGCTCGGCGGCTCGATTATCGCGTGACCAGCTCCCTTAATTGGACGCGTCGAGTCGTCGCGGAGAGCGACATTTGTCCGCGGCCGACCGGCCGCTCGGTCGATCCCCTTTCGCACGCGCATCGACGGTCGGCCGGCCGTACTCGCTCGCTCGCCCCCGCGGCGGCGGCGTCGTCGTCGCAATGTTGCCCCGAAGCTCTCGACCGTCTCGGTTGTTCCATCGCGAGCGGCTGTCCGTGCGTCCGCCTCGACTTCGGATTTCCCATTGGCACCTGGTCGTATTTTTTTCTCTCGGGACGGCGCTCGCCGGCGAGTAGAAGAACTCGGAATACGGTCAGACGGCTCGGCGAATTTCAGGGAAAGACCAGGCGGCAACGGTGGATCGCCGTGCTCGCGATGGGGAGAAAGTTATCGGGCGATTTAAGAATTTATTAGAGCGCGAAAAAGTTGTCGACTTATCGCTTTTGCACTTGGGGAGGGGATCCCCGAACTAGAGCAGTTCTCGGAGCCATAAATCAAGCGCAAAGTTTTAATCGCAAGCTGACGTCCACCTACTTTTAGCCACATCCTTATTGCGTTATTTCCCTTCATTCTCGGGCGCCGCCGTCAGGGGAGAAGAGTTTCTTTTCCTTTCGGGAAGCTCGTTTGTTTGAGTTTCGGCTCGCTCTCTTTCTCTCTTTGTTTTCTCCCGGGCGGAATTCCATCGCCGAGGTCTTTTTCGCTTGTTGATTCGCGCGCGGCTCGTATTGATCGTTTTGCTTTTGGTTACGTGCCGAGGCTCGCGCGATCTCACTTTCCCGCGTGGATCCTCGGCTGGCGAAGGAGAGGAGCGCGACCGGAACTCTCTCTCTCTCTCTCTCGGGCTGTTGCTCCGGCTAACTCCGTTAAGCGATCCGCGAGCTAGGCCAACGCGTGAAAGCCACATTCCTATTTGCCGAATCCAAATATGTGCTCGAGCCTCGCCGAGATTAAATGAGCGAGAGGGGGAATCGAGTCTCGCGCCGGCGGAGATCCTCGAGGGATAAATTTAATCCGCGCCTCTCTAATCCTTTGATATCTTCCAGCCAGCGTCTGCCCGGCTAATTTTCATTTCGCGTCGGGAATCCGAGGACTTCTTTCTCCCTGCGCCGACGGCGAAACTATTTCCCCGCGTGTGGCATAGACGAGGCGCGCTGCGAAATACCAAGCGCTCTCTTTCTTTCCCCGGCGTGGCTGTCGTAAATAGAATAAAAAATCAATACTCGCCGGCGGCGAGAAAGAGAGAGATAGAGGTAGACGTGTAACCGGAGACGAGGGAGGCGCGATGCGGGAGTTCGCAGGGCAGGTGTCGACGGGCAGACTCGGCGGGGCCGATCGCGACGTCAACGCTTCGGACTCTCGATCGGGTCGATCTCCTCGAAAATCCTTTCAGCCAAGGCGGCTGTTGAAAGAGTCCTCTCGCCTGGCGGTGAGTGCTTCTACTCGCGATGGCCCGACGCGAACGAAAACTCGCGTCTCCAACGAGGATGCGAGCGGACTTGCAAGGCGGAATCGTTACTCGCGCTGACGTGCCTTTTCGTGCTTTCGCATTTCCCTGCGCAGCGGAAAAATAAAGAGAGAGGGGCAGCCGACTCTCCGTTCTATAGGAGAGGTCGGTGGTTAATTTTCAAACTCCTGCAACTTTAATCTCGTGGTCGTCTTGGAAATTCAATCGCAATAAAATCGTCGACGGGGGACAGTAGAGAGCGCCAGGATCAATTTTCGCGCGTTTCAGAAGTCGGCCCCGACTCTCGTCGCGCGGTGCACTTGGAAAGCCAATGATTAACATTTCACGAGCTCGCGAGAGCTACTTCATTGGGAGTTCCCTGCTAAAAGAAGCGCAGTCGAAAGGTTTCGCCCGGCAGAGAAGAATCGAATCACCGAACCGACTCGCCAATCGGAGTCGGGGGAATAACAGCCGGCCGTGAAGAAGAGAAGCGTCCGCGTCTATCGGGGCATGAGCTCTCGGTCGAAATTAGGGAAAGAATCGCCCGTCTGCAGAGTCCAGTCGAGCGAAAAGGAGGGAGCGAGGGAAGTTCAATTAAGAGCCGAGCAGCAGCCGTGGAGATTGAAAAGTTTTTCGCTCATTGAATTATTCATTTGGAGGAATCTAGCATCCGTGTGCGTGCGCGCGCTCGCGCAAAACCACTTTATCGACCGACAAACTTTTCCGACTCGCGAGTGTCCCGCCGGCAAACGAACTCACGCAGGAGCGGACAGTCGCGCGCGATCGAGTAATTGGAAATCAGGTCGGTCCGCCGATACGAGAGCGGGAAAGAGGCGCGCACTTTTGCGAAGAAAGCGTTGCTCGCGCCTATTAGGGTCACGGGGTCAAGCGTTTTCCGCGGTGCGGCGGCGAGGCGCCACCTCGCTATTTCGAGATAGACGGCTCGGACTCGCGTATCTCGGCGCCGGATGAATGATCGCTGTTCGCGCCTCGCGCAGCCTCGCTTTATCGGCGCGCGGGAAGCGCAAACGCGAAACTCGGACTGATTGGGAAGCTTTGTGGCGTGGCGCGCCCGAGAGCCAACTGCGAGGGAGAGGGCAAAGTTCGCGATCGCGCCACGGCGAGTCTCTCGCGCCTCGCGTTGGAGTTCTTCGCGAACTCGCCGACTGTTTCCTCCCCTCTGTCGCGTATCGCGCCCGATTGCGCAACTGACGCGTTTGCCAGATTTCGAGTGCTCGAACATCTGCGCTGCGGTCGTTGGAGTTTACCAGTCCGGGATTGCCGATGAGATTCTCACCTGAAACAGACAAGAAGAGTCGCCCATTAGCTTGCGTATCGACTGGCCTATCGGGGTATCAATCAATCGAGCGACACAGCCGCTGTCTCTCTCTCTCTCTCTTTCTCTCTCTCTCTCTCTCTCTCTCGCGCGCGCGCGCCCGATATCAAACGATCTACATCCAATTGGCAAACAATGCGCGCCGCAGGTGTGCGGACGTTGTAATGATCACGACTTCGGTAATTGAATATCGATCCTCCGAAATCCACCCTCGCTCGGCCAAAGCACCGCCGCCACGGACATTAATAGCTCAAGTTGGTTTGCTCCAAAGATAAAGCCAATTGAGCGAGAATATCACGTGCGGGGCTTCTATTTTTCGCGCGACTCGCCGACCTATTAATAAGCCGCATATCCGATACTCGCGCGCGCACATATGTAATCATTCCGCGCAGACGACGATGACGCCTCAAAGCTCGCTTTGACCAATTTTCAACTATCATTATCAGCGGCCGATCGAGGGATCGTATCGTAAATTTAGATCGCACTTTGTGCGCGCGAGCACGCGACCGCGGTATATGCCGAGTCGTCGATTATGGAAGTAACATCTTCTATTCATTGATGTCCGGATGGCCGAACCCGGAGATAAAGTAACGATCGAGAGGGCCGGGGAGAGAAAGTATGGCCGTGCTGTGCTAACCTCGATCGCGGCTTTTCCGTGTTTTCCGTGAAAACAACTGCTCTTCGGCCGCGCGCGAAAGCAAAACGGTCCAAGAACAATAATCGATGCTAATTGGCTCGGCGAAAAAGCAAAAAAAAAGCGGTCGACCGAAATAGAAGTGCGCTCTGGACGGGATATGACTCGGGACTTTTCCTTTAACGAGATTCCGACGATTCGCGCGCTCGCCGTTCAGTTGCTCCATCTCGTTTCTTTTCTTTTCGCCAAATCGCCGTGCGACTGCGATGCCTCGAGATCGCACGGCGACAATCGATCATCGAGAGAATCATTTGCAAGCTCCTTCCACGCCCCTCCGGCCGCGCTCCGATGCGCGCGAGGAAAGTAGCGCGAATATCGAGTCGTCCAGATTGCGATGGTCGGCGCGCGCTCGGTCGCGTCGCCCGCCGAGGAACGCAACGGCGGCGGGCGGTCGACCTTGCGGCGTCGCGCCGCGTCGGCCACGTGTCGGGCTCGCGTATACGTGACTCGGTGCTCTCGCGTGCGTCGCGTGAAGCGCGACTACACTTTAAATAGAAGCTGTCGTCGCGCGTGCTCGCGGCTATCTGTTCCGCGGCTCGCGCGAAAGCCGAGTCTTCGGGCGAGCATTGAAAAATTATTTATAGTCGGCGAGCAAATCAAACGCGCTCGCCAGCCAAGGCGGTAACAAGCTGCCGTGTGGCTGCGTGGCGGTCGGTTTCGGCGTCGGCCGCACTATTTTTGGACAAATCCACGATGGACGCGTCGCCGCAGCTATCGGCGATAATTTTCGATTACAGGTGTCACGCGGCTTCGCGAAATTCCGAAGAGTCCGTCGACGATTGTCGCTTCGAGGGTAGGTAGTTCCACCCCCCCCCCCCCCCCCCCCAAGAAACAAAAACAAATAAAAAAATACATAATGTGATTCCGAAGCATTCTACACAAGACCGTGAAGAGAGGGGGGGGGGGGGGGGGACAA